GCTCCACCGACCTATAATAAACATTAATTCACCCTTTACCTACCTTCGTAAGTCCAGGTTAGAGTGTCACTTAACTACACACGTTCCACTAACGACTTAAAAAAAGTGTAAAGTGTAATTTCATGGATTAGCACCTTATTCACATATTCCTAAAGTAACTAAGATTGGGAATTTAATAAAACATTTAGTTACTTTATAGTATTCATCATACTTTTAATGAGAATTTATAAGTCCTTGTCCTACTCGTTCAGCTAACGACCCTCCACCGATCAACAAAGCGGTGGTTGAGAGTAGTCACCCATTAAGCTGCCATTTTATAGGCATCAACCTTATACCCCCTTATAGATCGACTTGGTGAATGAGGCCTACTAATGGTAAGACGACTTGCTCTTATACATATATATATATATATATATATATATATATATATATATATATGTATGTATGTATATATATATATATATTAACTTATAATATTATAAAGTATAAGGGTTGATTTTTAACTTTTAAAAATCTAGGGGTTGGAACTAAAGTTTATTAAGTGACTTTACATGTTCCAAAACTTGAGTGCAAGTTTTGTAACTTTACAAAACCTTTCAAATTCATAACTTAGGAGTTATTAAAATGAAGACTCTTCATTTTATAACTCATGTGTTCTTTTAATGGTTTTTAACACAAAGAGACTTTTGGTTATCCATAAGTTGAGGACAAGTTATGGACTCCATTACAACACATAAAGATCATGAATTAAACATTTAAACAAGTAATTCCTATGATCTATCAAAAGCTCATAAGAACATGAATATTCATATCAAAGTTTCAAGAACATACGAACACATAAGAACATGAAAAATTGATATTAGCCATTGTAAATGGATCGGAACAACCATTACATCATATAAAACAAGTTTTACAACACCAAAACAGTTTAGGGTAATGTTTCTAGTCCATTTCCAGCAGCAAAAATTGAAATTCTGCACACTGCCTAGCCAACTCGTCGAGTGTACGAACTGACTCGCCGAGTTGGATGCATTTTCACTTGGACTCATCGAGTCGCATGTGCAGACAGCTCAAAAATTGGTTTTTTACACTATTTTGCATCAAGTATTAACAAACAAGCCTAGGCCCTGATACCACTGATACGTTATGAGCATTCTAACACCCCTAAGTCTACATGCAACCCTAGAAAACCTTGGATCTATGTTTGTCTAAAATACATGCAAATATATGATTTCCAAGGTTCATAATCCTATCTAGCATACATGGGGAACTTTTAATCTAAAATATGGCTAGAATTACATACCTTGTAGTTGATTTGATTCCTTGAAAACCTTGAGAGCCTAGCACCCAATGTGTCGTGCCTTAAATGCTTCACACAACACAAAATGCTTTGGAATAACTTTAGAGTACGTATAACACTTGTAAAAATCGGTGCCCTCTCTTGTTCTTAGTGTTGCCGATATTGGTGAGTATTGTGTTCCTTATATAGTGTGTCACATCTAGGTTTACACCATGTAAACCCTAATGTGACATGACTCTTCAGTTCCATGACCCATGGGTTTGTAACTCCCATGGAGCATCCTATGAGTTTAACCCAAGTTGATAATCCATGGAGCCTTTTAGCCCACTATACAATTTATGGATGATTTACATAATCAACCTATATATTTAATTATTCATCTTTTGATCACTTAATTAATTCCAAATTAATTCTTGATCAATACTAATTAAATAATACTATTAATATAATAGAACTTATAATATATTAATAAACCACAAGTGTTATTTCTCTCATTAAGTCTATCCAGATGCATGATGCCATGCAACCCAAATGGACCATGCCGAGTCGGGTCAAGTACATACCAAATATAGTTATGGACTTAGACACCTTATCCAACATAAAATTGCAGAGGAAGTTATGTGGTTAAAGAAGTTCATCAGCGATCTAGGTATTGTTCCCAAGATAGCTAATCATGTTGCGATGTTCAACAAATATGAGGGTGCAATTGCTCTAACTAAGGAACCCCAAGAACATAAGTGCTCAATACATATACGCAAATAGTTTCACTACATCAGGAAGCTCATTGAAGTCAGATACATCATAATGTCAATGCAAGGATATGCACGGGCAAGTTTTGAGTACTCAAACATTGAATTAACTTAATATCGATGTATGCTTGTAATTAATTCGAGTCATGTTTGGTAAACCATTCTTGTCTCGGAATGATGATAATCAACGAAGTATGAAAAGTATTAAAAGTAACAAATGTGAACAATGTTAAGTAATTGAAGAACAAGAAGAATGTAAAATATAATGATTGAATTGAATGATTCTTGATTAAAGTGTAAAAGGTGCACACATCTCTTTAAAGATACAAGGAAGACAACTCCTTAAATAGTCAAGGAGTAATTAGAAGAAAAATATGATAAAGTGCACATGGAATGAGATACTTTTGAAGTTCAACAGTCTGACACAATCATTTTTGTTGATCTTGTCTCTTGTACTATACCAGAAAACAATAAGAACAACACAGAAAGTACTTGCAACAATAAATGAATTACAAACACAAAATCTTTTTAACAAACATTTTATCTCGAACTAATCTTCACTTTGGAAAGCTTTCACCTCGGACATGATTCATCTTGGATTGCCTAAGGATCACTTTTCATGTTCCAACAATCTCCCCCTAAGTGACCATAGCAATATTTTGACTTGCCACATGGCTTCATCAAACACAAACAAGTAAGCACTCTGGAGCCAGCTTTGGACTTTACTGTTCCATTAGAGATGCTCAATAAATTTCTTCTTAATGTATTCGGAAATATCAATCTTCAAAGCATTTTAGATGAAAATTTGAAGAATCTTGGTGGGAACAAGGCGTTTGTCAAGAACTTAGAAGAATTCATTTTAGTTAGACTTTTTTCTTGAGATAGATATAAGAAAGTTCAAGTTTTTTAATGGGACCTTCTACTAAGATTTGAGCCTCTGAAAGCTCGTAGGTGATTTTGGCATATAGCTGTTCTATTCGGAAGAGATGAGAAAACTCCACCTCGGATCTATAATACTAAGCAATGTAGTCCTTGAGAAAGCTGATTGCGGTATAGTAAGCTACAATGCTTGATCCATTTGTTTGATGATCTTTGAGATAAACAACCATGGCGAGAATGTCATTTGGATTCATTGAGGGAAAATCTGCATCAGTGATGGTGATAGTGGTTTCTTATTCCGAGATATGAAATATCTGAGAAGATGATAGTCGCTATTAAACCTTCCTTGAACCTTTCTTCCATATGCAACAATCTTTGTGATTCTTTTCCAAAACCACACCTCTTTTTGGGGTCCTGCATTGATGGAGAAGAAGGTTCTCAATCGTTCACACTCAGTTCGGATGATGGTTTGAGGATCATATGATAGATGCAAAGGTGAAAAATTGATGTAGTAGCGTCCATAAGGAGAGATTGGTAAGTCAAATTGGTTTGCATCATTTGTTGGAAGATCAAAGTACATGAAGGGAACAAAATTGATGTCGTGCAAGATTACTTTTCGGAAGAGAGGAGAAATACCCATCATCGGATTGGGATTATCTTTCAATACTTGAATCCTAATGATTTCTTCAAGTTCTTGTTAAATTTTTTCTTTGGAACAACCCTCAGACTTTTTAAACGAGTTCACTAGGCTGTCCAATTCAAGAGAGATCCTTTTTTCCTTGTCTTTAATAGGAATTTCTAGGGAGGAAAAGGATGAGATGATTTATTGACCAGATTAAGTAATGACCAGCTCAAATGGAGGTGGAACCAGAGGCTCTTCATGGATCTCATCAGGATTCCTTGTGGGAGACCCTTTATTGATTTGAGCAATCCACGGAGTAGGAATCGGAGGAGGCAATGGCTGATTGGCTTGAACAACATCAATTGTCAGATTTGTATTTAATTTAGCCTTGTTGTGACTCTTTTTTATTACTTCGGATGATGGCCAAGAGATTGAGCACCATTTCTTCTTATCTTCTTCTGAGAGGACTTTGGAGATTACAGGTTGTTCCCTGATTGCTTGAAGTCCTAGAATCACATCATTCACTAAATCATCTTCATCAACAACATCTTCTTCCTCAATTGTTTTCTATTTCCATATTTTCTTCATCAGTAGATTCATCTTAGAGCGCATATTCCAAGATCGGTTTCCATTACACAGTCTTCTTATATTCCCCTCTTGCATGGGACCACATTGCCTCTGATACTAGCCATGCATCTGATTTCAACTTAGCTAACCGTTCAAACATTTGTTGATCTCATGTTGATTTGCTTGGAGAGCGAATCATAAGCCTTGGTTGTTTGAGCTTGACCTTTGAGATGATTGAAGGTTTCATCTAGAATGGGAAGTATTTCATCAAATTTGTGGTTCAGAGTATCCAAAAAATGTTGAGGTGAACAGATGAATTTTATGAGCAGTTCCTGCATGACCATGCTCATTGTATCCTTGTGATGAATTTATTTCTCTAATTTTTGAATCTGCTTATCATGACTAACATGGGTTTGCTTGATGTGTTCATTTGTAGCAGAAATCATGTCATCATGGATCTTGAGCATTGTGATAATGGTAGAGAGATGATGATCCGAATTGTCCTTGTAACCTTCCTCGGCTTCTTCTAGAGTGTGGTTCAGGCGATAAGAGATAAGTTGATTTAGTTGGTTGACACAATCATGTTCGGAGGGAGCAACAACCTTGATCTCGGAAAGATATTTAGTGACAAGATCAAGTTTTATCACAAGGCATGCGGCCTTCAAATCAAATTTGTCAAATTTGGAGTTAGCTGATGGAACACTGTCTCAGAGCTCCAATAAGGGAAGCAGATCTGCAATGTTCTTATCAGAGGATCCCTTGTCCGAAGTGGAATGTTCAGAATTATCATCATGAACTTCATTGTCTTCCGAGTCATTAGCCTCGGTATTATTGTTGTTATTACCTTGGGTTGGATTTTCTAGATCACCATCCAAGGTGGTTTCTAGATAAGGGGAGGTGATGTGATTCCTTCCATTTTTTCCATGAACGAAGAGAGTCCAAAGTCATAGAGAGCCATGGAGGAAGAAGGATTTTGCAATAGATTAGACGAGGAAGGAACTAGAATGACACCAAAGGTGTTGTTTTCATCTACAAACATAATCTCAGCAGATATATTGTCTTTGTCATTGGGATTGAATGTCTCGGAGATTGGAGTGGAGAAATTTGCATCAGCTCTGTCACTAGTCTTCAAAAGAGGACCATCCAACACAAAAGTTGTATTGGGAACATCTTTTATAGCAACGTATTCATTTCGAGGAGGATCGTCCACTGTGTTGTCATGAGTGGGAACTTCTGCACTCTTATTAGTCTTTAAAGCACTGATAAATGGTTCAAGTTCTTGATCATTCTCCTCATTTGATGGAAGAGTGAAGGAGATGCAACTTCCAACCTCCTGCTGACGTATAGAAATGAGTGTGTTTTCAACTTGGTCTCGGGTGAGCTCTATATGTCTGGTGTGAGTTTTGTTGAAAAAATCAAGATAATCATCATTAAAAATACCTGATCATCCTTTACTTGTGGCAAGTATCAGATCAGTTATCACTTTCGAGGTGGGAGAGACTACTCCCATCTCGGTAAGCTTGGAATCGATGGAATCAACCACTGATTGTGCTTATGAAGAAACAAGAGGGTGATTCAAATCGACACATGAGTGTATCCCAGGGGACTGCAACGGAATTTGTTCAATACAAGAACTGCCTTTTTGAGAAGGTGGAGGTAGATTATGTGTAGACTCCCTATGTGTATGTGTGTATGTGCAGACTGTGATATTGAAACTCCGTAGGATACTTCAGAAGAGTGGGTGGGTAGGGTAGGCAAAGACCCAGAGTCGGGTCGAGAGTCGGTCTGTGAATCCTTTTGAAAGGATTATCCGACTTTGGTTATCTTTTTGTTTTTGACTTTTGAAAATGATGTTTTTCTATTTGCAATCTGTTTCCAGCGACGTGCAAAGGTTGTTGGCATATTCTCTTCCGAGGCTATTTCATTCGAGACCAGAGCAGGTTGTGTTGGGTTAAACACAATCAAGATCTCAAGATGATGTTTTAGATGTGGAGAGTCGGAAGTAACAATGGCCAACATGTGCTGAGGTAAACTTTTAATAGGTCCAAAAGCAGATTGACTTGGTAACCTATAAGTCTTTATCGTTTTAAAAGAGCAGTATACCTCTCGGATGTCGGAGTTGATGAAAATGGCTTCTTGAAGGCTAGAGTACATCTATTGAAGAGTCAGAGCCCAAAATCTTAGACTCGGAATCTCGTTTGACTTATTTTTGTTTGTGAACTTCCTGAAATCTTGCCATATGACTTCCGGTAGATCGACGACGTTAGGTTTACTCGTGAAGGTGTTTTATACGAAATAAAGCTAGTCCTTGCTCATCATGTCCGTACCTCCATGATTAGCGGATAACGCTCTCAGGATTAGATGCATAAGAATGGTACAAAGACCTAGCGGATAACGCTCTCAGGATTAGATGCATAAGAATGGTACAAAGACCACTAAATTCTTGAACATATTGGCTTTGAATTCTCCATTGTAACCAATGTGAGTCAAGAACACTTGGAACTCTTCTGGTGTGCGTTCTTGCAATTGAAAACCTAAATGGTTTTCTGCAACTCCAAGTTCTCTAAGAAATGTCTCTTTTTTCACGGTCACAACCCAGTCATCTGTGATTTTCACTTCCAGAACACCATATTTAATTTTGACGTGTTGAAAGGCTTTGTGTAGAAGCCTAAGAGGAAATTAGGGTTGGAAATTTTATTGAGAGGAACGACGATGGGATGCTGGATATGAACTCGATCATGATTCTGACGGACTCATCATAGTCTATTAGATCAAGGGAAAAGAGTTGGGTTGTTTCCGTAACGATGGGTTCGGTTGAGGAAGATGAAACATACACTTTAGATGATTTCTTGTTGGTGCAGATTTGGTTGTATTCGACACCATTTTCCAGGTAAGAAAAACTTGAAGAATAGAGAGTACAAAGGAAAGGTTCTCAAGAAAATGAAAGTCAAAAATGAAAACTGGGAACAACTAGGATTCCAAATCCTTTTATATGTGAGTGTTTCCGGTTCAGGTCAAAGTTTAGAATGATGACACTAGAAAGTCGCAAACGGGTTGCATTAAATACATAGGCTCAAAAGCCTTCCTATGTGACAATTAAGAACCAAATGATTGGATGTTTGCTTGTTCATAAAGGGAAACCGTTGATTTAGTTCAGAAACATTCAATACTTTGTTGGAACGTGTGCCAAAATCATGTTTATGGTTAATTAAGAGGATATCAAAAAAGAAATTACCATTAAATGAAAAAACGTTTTGGAATTAGCACTTAAATAATAACCTTAAAATTGATTTATTTTTTAGAGTCTCGAAATAATTAGATGCCGAGATGGAAAGTCATAAGATACTTCATAAATAAATGAAACAAATCATTAGTAAATGATATAGATTTAGAGATAGCACAATCTCTAAATTAATATCAGAGGTAAAGTGAATGAAGATTTAGTTCAGACTTATTTGATTTTCCGATGTTTACATCAGAGAATACAAACTTCTTGGAGGAATTGCGGATCAGGCATCATCATTCCCATTGTTTTTTTTTATCTTTAATGAAATGGTATCGAATATCAATTTGTTTATTCATGGAATGCTTAATTTGTAACGCTCGCGTTTCCAGGCTAGGCATTATCATTGATGTAATAGTCTAGGTTAACCCTTGTAACTCTTTTTGAAGTATTAATGATGAAATATTTGAATATTATGTGAATTATGTGTATATTTTCTTAATTATTATAATTTAATGAATTAAGAATAAAATAAGTGTCAAATTTGAAGTGTGGGATAATCCCAATATCTTTGCATAAAGATGTAGTGGTCAAAACAAGGATTCCGAAGATATAAAGAATGCCGAAATCCGAGTTATAACGAAGAAGTTATGACCTGTCGAAGTTTCGCGACAGAACCGACAAACGCTGAATGACGTAAAAAGTGAAATTTACGTTAGAGCAATATTTAGCCTTAGTGATCTAAACGAAAGTCGTAGAGTTCGTTAAACCGAGAGCATGCATAAAAAGAACGCCAAAATCTGACTTCGTATGAGGAAGTTGTGATTTTTCGAAGTTTCGACTTAGTAGTATGCAGCCCGAATACTCGATTTGAGATCGAGCGGTTTTTAGCTGAAACAATCTAAATGAGAATCGAAGGTCTTGTTAATAGGAGTAAAACGATAAAAAGATAGGCGAAAACGGACGTCGGATGAAGAAGTTATGAATTTATAACGAAATTTTCCTGTCCCGGCCTACTAAAAATAAATAATAAAAATAAATTCAAAATTAGCCGACAGAGTCTAAATGAAAGTTGTAGATCGTAGTCTCACCTACGCGTGGATATAAAGAACGTCGAAAACGGAGTTCGTATGAGGATGATATGAATTTTTGAAGTTTATTAAATATTTTCGATATTTTATTTATATATATATTTAGATATTATCCGAAGGGGGGGGGGAGTCAGCGACCTTATCGTCGTTACGCCCAGCGTAATCTCATGTTACGCCCAACGTAATTCGACCTTCCAGCCCCTATAAAAGGGTGTCGAGGGCAGTTGAGTAGTTTGCTCATTTCTTCTCTTTTTCTTGCGTTTTTGCATCGTTTTTCGTGCAAGAATTATCCCGAAGCCTTGGTATCATTCCCGAGCCCCGAAGCCCCGAAGATCCCGAGAAGTGCGATTCCCAAGCCGAAGGTTTGCCCGCGAGGAGTCCGGTTTTTGTGAAGATCTTCCAGATCTGCCGAAGAATACTACTTCTATAAGCCGTAGTGTTGTCCGATCATCTTCTGATCAAGTGAGTGTGTGGTTACTTTCTTCTAACACATAATTATCAAGTATTTAATATAAAATACGTGTTATGTGTATATTTTTTTGTTATATGCTTGAATGTATGTTCACTTTCTTCTATCTCATAGATATGATTTATTCTCTATTAAATACGTGTTATGTGTATGTGTCTCATCTGTTGTTTTGGACTATGTATTGAATGAGAATGCTATGAAGGTTTTAAACTATGTATAAAAATATACATTTTTATCTACTAATATGTCGGGTAGAACATGGGTAGATAGTTGACGTGTGTTAAACAGATGAGAGGTCTCGATGTTGTTTTTGATTTAGTCATCTAGCGGAGTTTAGATGATGGCCATAGACTTTTCTAGACAGTCCTGTGGAACGCTAGCAGGTTCGCCACCTTTAGGTATTAATGAACTTGGGTGTTCATTCGCTGTACTCCATCCCCCTCATGGTTGCCTTATTTGACATATGTTGCCGGGAAACCCCCAAATGCATGTGTTGTCGCCCTGATGAAATATTTTAAGACTAGGTCCCTTGTGTTAGTTGTTTTAGGGACGTAAAGTGAGAATAACGGGAATGGGTAATTGGGTTATTGTTGATGGTGGACTTAAATATAATTATTTAATGTGGGTTGAAAACCCTATATGCTCACCAGGCTCCCAAGCCTGACCCACTCAATTTTATTTGTATTACAGGAAGTGGCGCAAGGGAATAAGATGGATGAACCATCAAGTTGTTTTGTTAACAAGTCTGTATATGTATATATTTGTTGAATGACTTGTAATGTTGTCGTTTATGCTTTATGGTCTGTATCGGAACATGACATCTCGAGTTTTTATTATATAATGAAAATACATTTCTTTTATGAAATGCTTTGGTAAATATTATTTTATCGTACTTTGTTTTTGGGAACAAATTCCGCAACTCTTTCAAATCAAAAGGATTTACTCTGAAATTATTTTAAAAGCATAAATGAAAATCGGTCTTTTCTGGCCGAGATTTTGGGGATGTCACAGTTGGTATCAGAGCATTAGTTTAAGCGAACTAGGAATTTGTAGGATTTCTAGACTTAAACTTAAAATGCTAAGTGAAGTTTTGCGATATGTGTCGGTTATGTTTTAGACACGAGCACTAGTTTATTTTAGGAAAGTTTCCTAAAATGATTTTATGTGCTAAATGTTATATGTTGCCATATATGTTATTATTTGTTCGGATCTATGGTCTGTTGCCGACCGGATCCGGAAACTTTATGTGTGTAGGATTCTAAGCGTACATCTACGAATTTAGAACTAGCATGTAAACGTTTCGGAGTGATAAGAATGATTTGAATATCTATCGTGAATAAGGATCTAATTTCACCTTATTCGGTGTGTAGATCAAAAATGGTGAGAACAAGAAGTGGAGTTGGAAATGCTGATGAAAACAGGAATCAACCACCAGTGATTGAACAATTACCTATTGTAGCTGCAGCACCGGAGCCAATAACAATGGCTGGTGTACAAATGATGATTCAAACAATGTTGGATCTTCAAATGGAGGAGACTAGGCGGTTGCTTCAACAGAATCGTGAAGAACTGTCAATTCATGTGGAAGAGCCCGAATTAAATGAAGGGCACTCGGAAGGTGGAAACTTCAGTGGGTCTGTTGGTCAAGCCAACCCACTGGTAGTTAGGCAAAACAACCATGATGGAAGGAATGATGGAATGGGATGAAAGTACAAGGACTTTTTAACTTGCAAACCATCGACCTTCACTGGAAAGGAGGATCCGATTGGAGTGATGGATTGGATCTCCGAAATGGAGTTAGCCTTTATGACTTGTGGCTGCAGAGGCAAGTTGCAGACCACGTTCACAGTACGTCAGTTCTGAGGTGGATCCGTTCGTTGGTGGAACGCTCTAGGGAAGACTTTAAGCCCTAATGAGCCACTGCAATTGACATGGGCAGAATTCTTGGTGCAGTTCAAGCGCAAGTTTTGCTCGGCTCAAAATCTGTTGGAATTGGAGAACAAGTTTCTGACATTAACGAAAGGCAGCATGTCAGTTGATGAATACACTAATAACTTTACCGATAAGATGGAGTTTGCTTTGCGCATCGTTCCAGATGAGTTGACAAAGGTTGACCGACATGCAAAGGGACTCTCATGGGAGTACGTAGTGCCAGTTCGTCAGGCACTTACTCTAGAGGTAGCTATTTGGGCTGCCAAGTCTGTTGAGAACATGATTAAGGGAAAGAACCACCGACAAGGTTGAGGTTGGTGAGAAAATAAAGTTTGAAAGGAACATCTGGTTCCGATAAGAGAAGAAAATTTTCGAAATCTGATTCGAAAAAGTTTGGAGGAAAAGGAGGCGAAGCGAAATGGTGTGATAAGTGTAATAA